GAGAAACTTATGGATCACAACATACATCCCCAACTAATCATGGCTACTGTGCAATCCCAAGCAGCATTTTGTTCTGTTGTGCATGAAGTCTTTGTGTGTTATGAGCCAACTTGATGGCAGCTAACAGCCACAACTGCTCAAAAAATGTTTGATGGGGATTTATATATTGAATACATTATGCAGCTTATAATTACTATTTGAATATATAATGTACACAATCTAAAACTAAATTTAAGTGTAAAACCTAACTTTTCCAAGAATGTAACATTAGATTTACAATCAAAATGAAGTGTAACCTCTCCAAAATGTATATATAGACTTTCAGAAATTTTATCTTTGAAGATAAAAAACACTGCTTTATTTAGCATTATCATTATAAGAGCCTCTCAAATATAAACACAGTCATATTTGTTAGTAACCATGAAAGAAAATAAACAAATCACTCAAAGCCATGTAACTAGCCAGAGAAAGAGTCACTATAAGTATCTTTAGCTAATCTCAATTATCTAACCCTTGTAAATTTGACATAATAATATATATACACATGAGATAGGCTACTCAGAAATAAAAGAGATATTATCATTTTTTAGAATTGAAAGTATCTTGTGGTATTTTCTCTTAAACTCTTCTCCATTTGCCTTTTTCTTTACTCTTTCCACATCATCTTCTTCAGTGCCTCTTTCACATCTTTATTCCGTAATGTGTAGATAAAAGGATTCAGAGTTGGAGTGACAACTCCATAGAATAAAGCCATGAACTTGTCCTGGTACTGTGAAGTGGTGGAAGTGGGCTTCAGATACATGGCAATAGCAGTACCAAAGAAGAGGAACACCACAACCAAGTGGGAAGAGCAAGTCCCCAGAGCCTTCTGGCATCCTTCAGATGCCCTGATCTTCCACAAGGACTGTGCAATGAAGCCATAGGAAATAAGAATGAGAGAGAGGGGCACCAGGAAGAAAAATACACTGACCAAGAAGAGCTCCATCTGATTGGCTGTGGTGTCTACACAGGAGAGTTTGAGGAGAACTGGCACTTCACAGAAGACATGGTCTATGACATTCTGTCCACACAGAGGAACCTGAGTGATGAGCACAGTCTGTACCAATGAGCTGGTCAAGCCAGTCAGCCAGGTCATGGCCACCAGTTGGAAACAGAAGCGTGGATGCATGATAACAGCATAGCGCAGAGGCTGACATATAGCAGCATAGCGGTCAACAGCCATAACTACAAGAAGGATGCACTCTGCGGAGCCCATTGCCGAGGCCACATAGAGTTGACCAACACAACCACCATAAGTGATTGTCTTCTCTGGGCCCTTCAAGTTAAACAACAACTGGGGGACTGTACTGGTGGTGTAGCAGAGATCCATGAAAGACAAGTGACTAAGGAAGAAGTACATAGGGGTATGGAGTCTGGGATCCAGACAAGCCAAAATAAGGATAGCCATATTGCCAAGCAGAGTCAGCAAATAGAAAATCATAGTGATAATGAAGAGGGTTGTCTCTAACAGAGGATGGCCAGAGAAACCCAGCAGAAAAAATTCACTGAAGAAGCTGATGTTTGAGCTGACCATTATCTTTCATTGCATTGCTACCAGCAGAGAAACATATATTTTCATACATAAATACTTGAGGTGGATAGAAACCAATAGTTTCAACTTCTTTTCTGGATGTCACAATGATGAAATAATGACACCATATTCCTGAGTTGCTTTTAATCCTTGAACTGAAAATAAGCATCACAAATTTAAACTCTCATGCTGTTCTTTTGCCCACATCATTATACTCTCCTGCCTTCCCTAGGATTTTTCTCTTTTACTAACTTTATGCATCTACGATATGTATACCTATCATTTCACCTCCATTTCCTAAGCTCTGCTTTTAAATCTGCACATATCTTCCATATTTTTGAGAATTAGCAATGCTTAGATTTCATTTGGCCTCTCTCTTTCTGTTCTGCACTCCTATTCTAAATGAGGCTGTTAAGTTACATGGCTTCACTATCTACATGTAATCAGAAGAGTAAATTTTCTGATTTTACAGTTGTATGTAATCCTTTATAGATGCTTTTTTCCATAAAAAATCCTAAATGCTTTTTTGCACACAGTTGATTTTCAACCAGTTTTTATTTTAGTCACATCTTAAATGTTTTCTGTCCTCTTGCTGTCTTGAAACAGATTTACAGTTCTTGAAACAGCAAATCCAAAGGACTATGGATTCATTTCCATTCTGCCTCATTACTCGAAGCAATGAATTACGTTACTCACCATACATTTAGTCTTTAAATTCCAGCCATTATCAAATCCTAAGCACTTTCTTCCTTCCACTCTGGCAGCTTTTATCTCTTGTATATCAAATATTTTCCCTCTTCCTCCCCATTGAGGTCATTTCTATTTTCTGCTTTTTTCTGCCAATAAATACTACTCAACTTTCTCATCAGTCACATGATTTCAATCCATTACTCATTTATATCTATACCATATCTACATCTCCAGTTGTATCAGTTTTGATATTGTAAATATATTCTACAATACCTCTGTGTAAGTATGTATATTTTAATTTCATCCTTTAGTCAATCTGTCTGTGAGCTTATGGCCTGTGATGATAAGTTCCCACCCCAATAGTACCTCCCTTTTTTCAGGCTTCTTGATTGAAATTTCAGCTTCACATCCAACCTCACTCTTTACCACCTCTATCTCTAACAGTATTGTCCCACTACCATACTTTTTATTCATATCCTAACAATACATTGAAATGTGAGTTTTATTAGCTTTTTTTCTCAAATTAAAACCTGATGCATCTTTTCACTTCATAAAAGATTTAGATAAATTTGGCTTTCAAGCATGCCTTGCTCTGTAAACTTCTATGTTATAATGCATATGTATCTTTAGAAATCAATTTGTATTAATCACACACTAACTTATATACCAAACATTTATATATATTCTTACATAGTTTTGCCATATATATTATAAGCATTTTGAAGGAAGGAGCAATCAATGAATTTCAAATGCTATCCAGCCAATCCTGAGTACAAAATAGAAAATATGGTGAAATATGGGCTGATTGCATGATTAAATCTGCCAAAACTAAATGACTATGCCAATTATTTCTTTCTTTTCTTAAACAGAGATGTCTTCCAGTTTTCACTCCTCTGCTTTCCTTTTTCTATAAGCTCTTTCCTGCCAATCTTATCCACATAGAAGCATCTACTCTCATCTTTAATCAGACAATTCAAAACCACATACATATACTTCATGTTTACCTTCCAATCTCACATTTTGCCTACATTTAATTAATTCAAAAAATACAAAGACTGCTGTCTTCCCATTTGTCTGAGTTTCCCTTGAGTAACTGCACCATATTAATCTAGACACCATGGAAGACATTTCTCTTGAGGTATGTTTTCTTCCAAACCAAAGTAAATGTCTCAGAGATTTCATACTACAGCTGTTGCTCAGCTAGAAGGTACCATCTCCCAGTTCTTTACTGGCAAGGAAATTCTTAAACAACACTGCAAGGTATAATAATGAGAAAATGAAAGCCTGCTTGACCACTCTAAAAGTTAGCTATACTGATTATTGAATGTTGAGCTTATTATAATTTCTTAACCCTCTCCTTTTAAAGTTAATTTATAGTTCCTAAAAATTTAATCTAACAGTAAATTATCTATATATTGTTTTCTATACAATAATACACATTCCTCTCATGAAAGAGGAAAATATTGTTTATAACTTTGTTATCAAGTCAAAACAACAATTTTTTCCAAGATAGCATTTCCTCCATAAGGTTCAGTAAGGAGACAGACAATTTTGGATCTCTATACAAATAATTGATTTAGTCATTTCAAACACATGAAACATAAGTATTTGCTAAAATACTGAAGTGCCTGAGGCACTTGACTGCTAACCAGAAGGTTGGCGGTTCAAACCCACTAGCAACTCCTGGGAAGGAAGATGGAGAAATCTACTTCCATAGTGATACCACCTCGGAAAGTCAAGGAGGGGTTGCTACAAGTCAGATCTGACTCCATGGCAGTGAGTCTGTTTTGGTTTTATTTATTTATTTATTTATTTTTGGAATATAATTGATAGTAGAATGTTTCAATTAATTATTCATTTATTATACAAGTGATTGACTTTCTCCTTCTCATATTTATGGGCACATGCACATGAAGAGAAATAAGGCATTATTGACAGAACAGCTAATATCTTTTACCTGAGGTTGAAAGCAGACACTAGGAAAGAGCAAATACCTAAGCTCCTAAAAGGAGTGAAGTCTGATTTTTCTCTAAAATAATGAGAGAAGAAGTCACAAAGAGGCATATATATATTATGTTTACTTGGCCAAGGTCACTTTGGCAAAGGATCCCAAGGAAGCAATTAATACCTGTGTTCACCAGTGTACATTTAGTTAGGAATCACTTAGGGAAAAGAATTCTTGTAGAGCAGATAATTTTGTCACTGTGTTCTTGCTCTTTGCTTAGAAATTATTTGCAGCTTTTAGCAGTCAAGTAAGATGACCAGATGGGATGTGCTATCATCTGTGCTTAGAATTGATAAGCTTTATAAACAATTCAACTCATCATTCATCTTCTCCATATGCTCAAACTGCACCAATTACCCTAATAATTCTAAATAAAGACAGGAAAAATCTAAAAGGTCTTACCTGAAGGTTTTGTGATTAGTATAAACTCATTGCAATTGGCTTAGCAAAAAGCATCCAAAAGAAATAAAATATTCAATTAAACTCATATGCAAATTAAGCTTAATCACAATACTAAAAATTAGAGACAAAAATCACCTCAAACAACATTGGGATATAACTTGGATTAAAAACAAAATGGAAGATTATGAGGTTCATCATACATATTTTCTTTTTCTGGGACAGGAGTGTACATTTAAAAAAAAAAAGTAGAAGAAACTCTACTAATGCTCTTGTCAACCAATATAAAAACAGAATGATGATGTATAAAATATAATGTTATGTATTGTGGTAGTCAAGATTGTGTGTCAACTTGTCTAGGCCTGGTTGAGTGGCTGAGCAGCTGAATGTAGTAGTCAACATGATGAGACTGGTAATCAATTCCATGGTGGAATCTACCGTGAGCAGCTGAGTAGCTGCCTTAGGGATGTGGTCTGCTTTCCGTATATAAGAAGCCTTGGGAATGGTCTCTAGTTTATGACACACTTGAACCCTGCATGTAGCCATGTCATTGTTCATCAGCCTGCCATGCTCTGCTGAGCTTGGGACCTTTAATGGACTTGAGTTAATGGTCTGATGTGTGGTTAGGTAACATTGGGACTGTGCCCTTTTACTTGTCAACCTTGGGCTTGTCAGCCTCAGCAGCCAGCAGCTAAGTGAAGAAAAGCCTCTAACTTCAGTGGGTCAGGAGCAGTAGGCATAATTGAAGCCCAAGTTTGAGGGGCTTTCACCCAGCCCCTAGAGCCCAGCACTTTGAATTCAGACTTAAAGCCTCCAAACTGTAAGAGAATAAACTTCTGTCTGTTGAAGCCATCCCATTTGTGATGTATTCTTGTCAGAGCAGCACTAGGTATCCAGAACAGAATATGGTACTGAGAGAGTGGAGTGCTGCTCTGACAGATACCTAAAATATGTAAATAAGAATGGAGTACGTCCTTGACCCAAGACCCCAGCAGAGAGACCCCAGCATGTGGCATGAGAGACAGCAGGAGCAGAGTTGAGAGAATTGGCATGAGACAGTGACAGCCTTACCAGCCCACAGAGGAGAAAGCTGGATGCTATTGTGCAGGAGGCTTCCTGGTGGAGTGGGTTGCCTTCAGGTATTAATTAGTAGAAGAGATCGGCATAAAATGGAGTAGCAGTTTGGCCACCCCACTGAGCAAAAAACTGTAAAAGAATAAACTCCTGTTTGTTCAAGCCATCCCATTTGTGGTATATTCTTGTCAGACTGGCACTAGGTAACCAGAACATGTATAAAATACTAAAAGTTATAGAGTTGTCACAAACAATTGAAAAATGCAATAATACACACACACACACATACACACACACACACTATTCCATTTAGAATAGCCCCAAATACATGAAAAATTTAGGAATAACTTTGACAAAGACATGAGAGAACTTTACATTGACAACTTCAAAACATTGTTACAAACTAAATGGATAGAGAGATATACCATGTTGTTAGATTAAAAGTTTCAATATTCTGATGATAGCTAATTGCTCTATGTTGTTGTTAAGTGTCATCGAGGTTGTTTTTGCTCATAGTGAATGTATGAACAACAGAACAAAACATTACCTGGTCCTGCCCCATCCTCACAATCATAGCTGTGCTTGAGCCCATTGTTGTAGCTTCTGTGTCAGTCCAAATCATTAAGCGTCTTCCTGTTTTTTGCTGACCATCTACTTTACCAAGCATGATGTCCTCCAGGGGCTGGTCTCTTTTGATAACATGTTCAAAGTATGAGAGGCAAAGTCACACTATTCCCATTTCTAAAAAGCATTCTGGCTGTATTTCCTCCAACACAGATTTGTTATTTCTTCTTGCAGTCCATGTTGTTGTTGTTATTGTTGTTGATGTTGTTAG